GCCTCTGCCTCTGCTGGTGGTTCGTATCCAATCTGGCTGATGATCGATCCACTGCTCGCGGGGCTATCATCTCCTGGTCTGACCCCCTGTCCATCCTCTCCAAACCCTGACCCTGGCTGGGTTGCTGGTGGCGTGGTGGCCTGCGCGGGCCTGCGCGCTGGTGCATCCTTCCAAACCCGAACCTGAACTGCCTGGGAACCGCTGCTGCTGGTGGTGCTGGTGGTGCTGGTGCCAGCCGCATGCTGGGCCTGCCAACCGGGATCACATCGGTCACACGCCTGCTCCTCCTGCCCTGCCTCTGGTGGGGCATCCCCACACCGCTGCCGCTCATATCCATCAATGATCCCGTCTAAATACTCGTCTAAAACCACCCGCCGGCACCCTCCCGCCTGCATGTATCTCTGCACCCGCTGTGCCTCCATATCCTGATCCTCATCCTGGTCCTCCGCCTCCTCCCATGGATGGTGACCACCTGCGCCGCCGTGACCCTGCGCGTCCATCCCCTCTGGCTGGATTATGATGGCCTCGCTGGCCTGCCCGTCCCGCCCGGCCCGGCCGCTCTCCTGCGCGTAATCCAACAACGTCCGCGGCGCGCCAATGTGGATGATCACCCGGATGTCGGGGATATCCACCCCCATGCCCAACGCGTTGGTGGCCACGATCACGCCCGTGGTGCCCTGGATGAACCGCTCTAACACCCCTGCGCGGTCTACCTGCTGGCTGTGGTACGCCTCGCCCCTGAATATCTCTGCCATGGCCTGCACCTGCCGTATGGCGTTCGCGTATATCACCACCTTCCCACCACCGGCCCGCCGCGCCTGCTGGATGCGCGCCTGCATGAATGCGATGATACTGGGATCCTGCTGCCACTGGTACGGGCTACTACCCACCGCGGGCCGCCACACGCGGTACGCCACGTTGCGGCGGCTGGTGCGTGCGCGATATATATATATCTGGTCGCGCGGGTAATGGATGCGCTGGCTGAACTCTCCTTCCATCTGCGGGGGGAACGTGGCGGTTAAATACACCATCTGCGTGCGCGCGCGTACCAACTGGCCTAACTTGGCCATCTCTTGCCGGAAATCCCTCTGCGGGTTCATGATAATATGGCATTCATCTACTACCACGCGGTCCAACCGCCGCATCATTACCAACTAGTTGATAAACGACTGGAAATCACTCGTCACCGTGGACTCGGGCGTCACCAACACAATAGCGGCCTCGTCGGGCGGCCGCTGCCAGTCCCACGCCACGCATGATACCCCAACCTGCCAGCACTGCCGCGCCATGTCCTGGCGTAATGATATCAACGGGACCACCACAATGGTGGTGCCGCCGGGCATGGCCCACGCGGGCAACATGAATAACATGCTTTTACCACCCCCCGTGGGCATGATAGCCACCACCAGGCTGTGGCCCTGCTGGATGGTGGCCATGGCGCTGGCCTGCACGCCGCGGAACTGCATGCGGGCCTGCCCGGTCATCTGCTACATCGCGGCGGTCATGTCCATGGTCTGCAGCTGCTGCCGTCGCTCCCACTGGTGCTCCTCAGCCTCAGCCCGCCACGGTGCCCGCTTCCGCTTGCCTAATACGGCGGGCGGGTGAACCCTAACCCTAATATCTCCATGTCCTGGCGGCTAGGTGCTAACCCCAACTGCTTGCGAGCCGCTTGGGGTACTGTCTGGCGAGCTAACCCTAACCCTAACTGCTTGCGAACCGCTCGGGGCGCTGGCCGCCGCCTCACCTGCGGGGGGGTGGTGGTGGTGGTGACTATAACTGTCCTCCTCCTCCCGCGGGAACCCTAAAAACTCATGCTACTCCACGCTGGACTGCCGGAACATGGCCCGCCAGTGACTGGTGGTGCCTGCCTGCTCCATGATCTGGCGCCCGTACACCATGCCGGCCACGTGCGACGAATGCGCCGCCTGCAGATCCATGATGTGCGCCATCCACTGCTCCGCGTCCATGCCCTCCTCCTGGTCAGCATCTAACACCATGGCAGCGGCCGCCTGCTGCTCCTTCTCGTCATGGACGTCGCTCGTGAACGCGCAGCCCGCCTACATGAACCGCCAGCTAATCCCAATGGCGATGTCCTGGTACGCGGGGATGTTCAACGCCTGGCCTAACCACGCCTGCGTCTCCCATTTCAACACCTCACGGAACCAGTTGGGCGTCCACGCGCGCTGCGTGCCAGCATCAGGACCCCATAAATATGGGCTGGCTAACCCTAACCCTGATCCTGCTGCTATGGCGGCCGTGCTGGCTGGGGATAATAGGGATGCTAACCCTACCCTGGGCTGGCGAGCTGGGGCCTGCCCATTGCCATCACCATCTAACCCTAACCCTAACCCCGCGGTGCCGCCTGCCTGCTGCTGCTGCTAGGCCGCCTGCCACGTGGTCAACTACTCTGTGAATGGCAACACCAACCACATGTACCACACGACTAACTCCCCCACCACGCGGGGCATGTACCGGTGGATCAACTTGATGTCATTACTCGCGTGGAACCCCTTGTGGTACGCCATCACTGCCGTCACCATCCCATCCTTAATGAATATGTTCTAGTGCCGGCTGGCCTGCGTGTTAACATGCTGGATGCTTAATAGCTCGGGCGCCCGCGCTGGCTGCTCACTAGTGATGTGGATGGCCACCGCCAGCTTCTCCTTGAACCAGGCCACGCGGCTCAAATACTGCGCCACCAGCTGGGCCTGTATCTAGCCGTGGCGCATGAACTGGCGCTGCATGGCGGGCTTGCTACGCAGCCGCTGGATTAACCACTGCCTACCCTCCACGGGCCACCGCGTGCGCGTATCCTGTAAAAAACACCACCCCTGCTTCCCCTGCGTGGGGTCGTCGTATAATCTGGACCATGGGATGGGTGGGAAACTGGTGGTGGTGTTACTATTACTGGTACTGGTGGTGGTGGTGCTGGGTGGGGATATATATAATACCTCCCGTAGCAGCTCGCGCGCCGATCCCACCAAACCATGCACGAAGCCACGGAATGCGCCCATGGTGAAATGCACATCCTTGTACAACAGCTCGTCGCTGCCTATCCATCCCACGTGCCCTGGCCTGGTGGTGTTAAAATCCACCTTCATCCCGTACGTGCGCCAATCCAGCAACGTCTACATGGGGCCGTGCGTGCCGCGGATCATGAAGCTGCGCACCATCTGCTGGACGTGGTCATGGAACAGCTTCCCACCTAACCCTGATCCTGATCCTGATCCTGATCCTGGTGGTGATCCTGATGGCGATCCTTGGGCTGGATCCCCTGGATGGATATGGATATCCACCAGCTGGTCATCCGCGCTGGTCAATGGCCATGTAACGGGGTGGCTGCCGCCGCTGCTGCCTAGCTACTAATGGCCCGTCCACATGCGGATGATCTCCTTCGCATGGGGATCTAACCACAACGCCTTCTACACCACCATGAAGCGCGCCACCTTAAGCACGCGGGATAATATGGGTGGGTAACTACTAGGATCACGCCAGCGCGCCTCGCCCCATCCTTGCACGGCCATGGCGCACACCAGCGCGCTCTCGTACTCGTGCGTGTGGTGGTGCTGGTTCATCAGCTCAATACAAAACTCCAAGCACGCTTGCTCCATGGGGGTTATCTACCACGCCTCCACCTCTGCATCTGTAGCCTTGACCCCATCCCCATTATCCATCTCCTCGTCTAGCTCCGTCGCGGTTAGGCTGCTACTACCTAGGCTAGTACTAGCGCTGGGGCTGGCACTCCACACGTCCTTAATAATCTGGCCGGCCCTAGCAAACATATGGATAACCCTCACCCCTAGCCTGGCTTGGGCTTGCGCACGCGCTTGGCCACTAGCTCCCACTTTAGCTTCGGGCCTCTTGATGGCTAGCATGGCCAGCTGCCATAACGCCTGCCACTTCTAGCACTACCGCGGGGTCATCCCATACGCGGGTAACCTCCCAAGCCACTTGCCGCGGCCACAGCCACCACCATCCCTATCCCCGTCCTCACTATCTTGGCTATCTCGGCTTGGGCTCGCCTGCGCGGCCTGCGTGCGCGCGATAAATACTAATACCTGCTGCCATGGCTGCACGTGCTTCTCGATGCTGGCCTCGTCCATGTACGCCTATAATGGCTTGTATGGCGTCTAGCCCGCCTCCATACGGGCCGCCTCCACGCGGATGCCCGCGCCACACTACTACATGGTCCACTAGCTGCGCCGCGCCAGCTGGTCCATGGCGTCCCAAATCACCCGCACGGCCTGCTTGGTAGGATCTGCCTTAGGATCCATATCCACTAGCTCTACCTCCTCTACCACCTCTACCTCCACGGGCGCCTCTACGAGCTGGCGCAAATCCTGCGGGTGCACGCCATCCAAATACCTTGCCCACCCCGTCATGCGCAGCCATGGGTTGGCATCAGCCGCCTCGTCTGCCTGGATGGTGGCCTACTCCGCCTCGCGCGCGCGCGCCCGCTCCCATGCAATAACCATGGCATCCACGGCCTGCTGGGCCTGCTCCACGGGTGGTGGTGGCGGGCTCTAGTGGTGGCCGCCTGGGTACCTAATATGGATGTAATGGGACCCCTTGCGCGTGGGGAACACCTACTGCCACGCCACGCGCGTGTATGATCGTGCCAGCTCTGCCTCCCCACGCGCCTTTTCCCTCGGGCCAACATGGCCCTGGCGGCCCTGCTAGGACCATTAGTGGGTGGCTCGCCAGTACACCCGCATGGACGCCATGGTGGATCCAATGTAATGGCACTACGTGGGGTCCCGCTGGCATAACAACCTATTGGCGTGGCATGGTAATATAGGTAGCGCGTTATCCATAACCCATGGGATCTAGATCACCTGGCTATCCTACGTGATATCCACCCATTGCTGGATGGCCTGGGTGACCTGGGTGGCCTGATGGTGGTTGAATTAATACTTCTGCTTTAAATGGCGTTCTGCCTCGGCCAGCCACACCCCATGCTTACACTGGCGGCAAATGATAATCTGCAAGCTGGGGATCTTCTCAAATAATTAGCTCTCCATGGTGGGAACTGGTTATTTACTAGTTAATAACTACTTCGCGACTGCTTGACTTATTTAATAATAATAATAATGGATGGATGGATGGATTAATAGATTGGTTGATAGGATTCACTATAATAATAAATAATAACATTTATATTTATAGTTACTATAGTTTTCACGCGTTTCCATGGTCACTGCTGTTAGTACAGCGAGTGTAGGAGTAGGAGGAGTATAGTAGGTTAATTAGTCCTAACGCCACTCCCGCGCTTGTAAAACCTAAAAACCCCAAAGTAGGGAAAATCAAAAACTTAGCATGTTTAATCAATCACTATACCTTAATCTTTGATCAGAGCGACTCCTAATTAGTACTAGCTATAGTTAACTAGCCCCTCTAGCCCCTTAGCCCAAACTAAGCTGGATCGGCCATAAAAAAGCCAGTGCAAGATACGCGATCATTCCCAGTGCAAGATACACAAGGTGGATCTAGAGCCAACTAATCAGCCGCCAGCTTAGCAGGTCTTGGCGCCCACCTTACAGTATAACATACGTTTGTTGCATTGACCCCCCTGGGTTAGGATAGTAAAGTAGGATCTACCTTAGGAATCCTCCTACTACCTCTACCTTTATAGGGGCCTCTACTAGCTAGTATAAATCCTATATTTATATACTATCTAAATACCTTACCTACTTACCTACTCTACCTCCTACGCCCGTGCCTGCTCTGCCATGGCTACTATGGCGTCCATGGCCTGCTAGGCCTGCTCTATAGGTGGTGATAGGCTCTACTAGCCATCTAGGTATTAGATATGGATGTAATAGGATCTAGGGCTAAATAGGAATGCCTACTACCATGCTACTAACCTAAATAAAGAACTATATAAGCTTAGCCTCCCCGCGCGCCTTCCCCTGCTAACCTATATATAACTTTATCCTAGTCCTAGTCCTAATCCTGGTCTATATCTATGGTAATACACGGCTGCTTAGCTAGCCCCATGTCCTGGTCCTGGTCCTGCTGCCACGCCTGCTTACGGGGCCCTAGGTACGTCTCAAAGCCCAGGAACCCATGCCACTCGTGGCTGATCACCTAGTACTGCCGCCGCCGCGCCTCCACGTGGCCGGGCGCCTCCTGCAGCCCCCACGCGTACACGGTGCCCGCGATCCAGCTCCCGTGGCTGGCCTGCTCATTAAACGCGGCGTCGTCCGTGCTGCCATAGTCCCGCTTGAAGCCACCGCACTTCAGGTGCACGCGCGAGATCGCGATGGCCACGTGGTAGTAGGATAGGATGTTTAGCTTCGTCTATAGGTGCGCCTGCGCCTCCTACTATAGGACCTTCTGTAGGCGTTTACTCGGCCAGCTCCCCCCCTAGTCCCCTCCGCCCGCGGCTGGCTAGAGGAAGGCCGAGGCGGGCCCATGGTGGCCCTGGGCCAGCCACTCCAGGGCCTCGTGGAAGGGGAGGATCAGCTAGAGGTAGTAGACCACC